AACACAGTCAGAGACAAGGTCCTAGCAACTGACTTTGATAAATCATTTGATAAAATAAATATGATACCAAAATTCATTCCATGTACACACTTGGATGAGTTGATGAATACAGAGGGCATCGGTAAAATAATAACTGCTGCTATGACGTATGAGGTTGCTGATGATGATAAAGAAATTACCGTTTCAAAAGGACAACCATTTGTAGTGAAAGTATCAAGTCTATCAGAGTGTGATGCATGCCAATTAGCTGCAACATTAATAAACTCATTACGTGAAGAATCACCAACTGACGTAGAATATGATGGAAATGGACAGTACAAAATAACAGGTAGATGCAATGTGGAAGGTGATTGGCAAATGAAGATAACTGCTAGAGCTGAGCACATCAAAGGATCTCCAGTGAATATCAAGGTGGAAGCTCTAGGAGTTGTTCATACTATAACTGGTATTATATCAGATTATACAGAACAATGTAAAGACAATTGGGTGAGAGATGTAGTGTTAGCCAAAGATGGATGCATATTAGTATCAAGCCTTAGCAAATATATATTGAAGTTCAACCAATCAGGTTCATTTGTTGCTAGCATACAGGGGCCACAAAATGTGAAGGTGAATCGAATGCATCTAATGAGTGATGGTAACATGATATATAGTGATGACATAGCAAAATGTATAGTATTGTGTGATGAAAAATTCCAAGAAGTCCGTTCATTTGGTAAAGGCATGTTGAAATTTCCATTTGGCTTGACATTAAACATGGAAACTAGAGCTTTGTATGTAGCAGACAATAATGCTCACTGCGTGTATAAATTCAATGTTGATGATGGCAGGCTACTGGGTAAGATAGGTTCAGCAGGAAGTGGAGTAGGTCAAATGAAGCAACCAAGCGATGTCACTTTAACTAAGGAAGGTCAAGTGGTTGTTGCTGACTCTGGAAATCACGGAATACAAATGTTTGGTGCAAATGGTAAGTTTATGAGAACACTTGTAGGCTGTGGTAAGGAAGATGGCAAAGTTTGGTGTCCATGGGGTGTAACCATGGATATGGATGAAAATATAATAGTATCAAGTTATCATAAACTACAATTATTTGATAAAAATGGTGTCTTCATAAAACGAATAGATCATGAAGATGATGGATCAAATATTCCAGTAGGAATCACTGTAATCTCCAACAGACCAAGAAGAGTAGCAGTAGCCAACTTCATACCAAACAATGTAAAAATATTCAATTATTAAAATGGCACATTGAAAAGCAAATTACCAGGCTCCATTACTAGATAATGTAAAACAATACTTCTACAGTTTTTTAATACATCAATAAATATTTTTGACAAATATATTCAATCAGTTTCAAAGCAAATGAGTGAGAATAACTATCACACTATTAATATTTATACATCACTCAATTAATTATTATATTCCATCAGATGGTAATTTTATTGTCATGTACAAAAAAAAATTGAAACTCTACAATAATTTTTATTTCTGTATTTATATGGCTGTAATAAATATTATTGAATAAATAAAATGAAAATAATGAATGAATGAGCGAGTGAATGAATAAAAAGTTGCATGTGAGTTGACATGTCTCTGGATGAGCATAATCTAGATAGTTTTAGTTGGAGCAAACATAAAATTAGAATAATTATTATGAACCTTTGTATTGAATTGCATTTTAAGTAATGTTGTTGAGCTCTGATACCCACTGAGAACTGTTCCTATATGGAGTCAAATTGAGTTGTGATGTATTAACTTTTATTTGGTAATTAATTCCCCATCAATTATAAAAATTCTTATGTTATATTGTATTGTGTTGTGTTTTATATGTTGTAAGCTACACTCTTTAGTAAAATTGAAAAAAAGTATTTAACTAAGTTTATTATCTTATTTAATTATTTTTATGTCCTGGGTAAAAAAAAAAAAAAACACAACAAAACAAATTGCTGTGTATATTTTGCTAATCAACTACACTATTCAACACATATTACACCAGCAAAAACACAGTAGGCAGAATTATACTAAGTATGTTTGAGATTTTTTAGAAATAGAATAGAATAAAAAAACACAAGTTTAATACATGAATGAGTAAACAGACCTATTTTATATTTGATTTCAGTCTGGGTTGTTACTAGACCTATGTCAACTAGATAAATCTTGAATCCAATATTATTTTACCACACAATAACAATTGTATCAATGGTAATTTTACCATCAATACACAGATGACAAATTTTCATTTTTGTAAAGCTATAATGGAAACGAAGTACACGAATCAATGATCACAAAACAGATGTCACAATAAACACGGTGGGATTATTGACCAGGGCTGCCAGATCTACCACTTCAGCAATATTACAAAAATCAGCTATCAAAGACCACGCCATACAACACAATCTCATGCCAAACTGGGAGGCTAACACTGGCAAAACAACCCAAAATGAAAAGACAGGCAGATCACAGAGTCTTTTTATAAGGTGTAATAAAGACAAGTCATGAACAGGATAAAGGAGCACATGAACTCTCAACTATACAACCATCTTATCGAACCAACACACGGCCCGGATCAGCTGCACAACCTTCGATCAACATCTGGAGGATGTGTACGATGTCGTCAACAAGTGAAGTCATGACCAAGCTACAATACACCTAGCTGTCAGTTAAAAAAATGGATCGACACGTTTTGAGTAAGTACTCCGTTTACACTGTACAGTAGCTTTACAAAAATGATAATTTATCATCTATACAATTCTGAAGAAAACTAAATCTTTTCAAGATCAATGCACTTGTATGACACACTTAAATTCAGTAAGCTTATTTTGTTGAGATGTTTCATCACATGATAATTAATAAATTGCATATTTCTTACAAATTCAAGAATGCTGATAATGACATTTTGACATATAATCAATCATCACATATATTTTTAATTTCATTTAAAAAGCCAAATTGTGGCCCAGAGGCTGAATTGTATGATATTTACAGAGAGAATAAGTAAAATATACTTATTTACAAACAATACTTGTTAAAAGCTTAAAAAGAAAAACAAAATGTATTAAAATTTACTTGAATTTAGTTTTCATATCTGAACTTTTACTGTATTCTTTCAAATGCCTTTGGACCTTAAATTAAGAAATTTCTACTTTTTTAAAACTTTCTGTTATGATGATTATGCCTTTTCCATGGTTTGGACATCCCTGTGATGGTAATAAGAGTTGTAGTGTAGTAGTAGTAGCAGTAGTAGAGATTTTTAAAATCTTGTTATTTTATTTGCCTTCACACTGGAGACAACATAAAAAAAGAGTAATCTAGTGAGAGAACATGTGTTGTCACCTCTAATAAAACACACCCTCATAAAAGAAATGAAAGTAATGATTTACCTCTCTACTTCCCACGCTGTTTCTGCTCCTTGTTCAGCCTGTATGTCGATTCGCTGAACTTTAATAATATACATGAACACGTCCTTGTTCCCCTCGATGTGTACCACCAGCCCTGGTATCTCAATACGCCATCTAGTTAGGTTCTGATTTGGCGATGCTATATTCTCTGGTCTACACCGTTCATCGTCATCCAACAGCATGTCAATGGGTCCCATGCCTTGACTTAACTGGAGGAAAGAGAAAGACAAAAAGATAACATTGGATCTTGATTTATTCAATGTGACCATTATACTCATTGTGTGCAAATTTAAAAAATGATGAAAGGATGACTATAAGCACCTCTCTATGGCTGCCATAGTAACTGACTACACACATATGCTATTTAACAAATGCCACTGCAAGTTTGAACCTTTACCCTTTGACCTTTACCCCTGCCCAGAAACAGCATTACAATTTCATCAGGTCATTGTGTTACTGATTTCCAAATGTTTGCATTTATATTTTTATTATATTGATTTTTAAAGAATAAAATATTGATTATTTATATGTATGTATCATGCTTCGTTCATTTTTGTTTGACATCAAAGGTGTTTAATTAATTTTACAGTTTATTATATAACTAAGTATTGTATAAGTAGCAGTAGATTTAAGATCAGTAAAATAAAACGTGATTATAATTTTGATTTACAACTTACACTAATTTGACTTCCCTCAAGTTCCATGGGCATTTCTTGGTTACTGTCGGAATTATTACTGTGGAAAAATCCTCTTATTTTACTCCCTATCTTGTTGAACAGGGGTTCGTTTGACCTCTTCATGTTGGCTAAAGAAAAAACATAAAATAAACAAATTATTCAAAGATTTTGAGTCTTTACAATCAATCAAACAATCCAGTAATCAATCCATCAATAATCAATTAACTAATCTATCGATCAATCTAATATTAGTTTACAAAAAATTAGATGATAATAGGTACCACTTTCATAGTCAGGAATCAGAACCATTGTGTCAATAAATCAATTAGCCAATCAATCAATCAATCGAACATTAGTATGTGAAACGTATTGCTAGAAGTTGATGATGATAGATAGTAACTAAAAATCACACCAACGAAAATAATAAAGAAGAAATATGTTTATCCTATATATGGACACATGCTCTCACTCATACCTTTCTTTGCCTTCTCAGGTTTTCTCCTCTCTTACTTCTCTTTCCAATCTGACCAAGTCCTTTTTGTCAGGTCAACCTTAATTTGATTCCCTATGTATTGGTTGGGGACCGATACTCCTGGGTTATAGCAGTGTTACAGTGCATTTTAGGGTTTGTCTCTTTACTTATATTTCAATACTTTTTATACAGCTAGAAAATATTTTCAAAAGTCATTTTAAACCGAACTACAGTAATATTTAAGTATTGATATTTGTAGTGATTTTTCAAATTTACTGTACATAAAAGCTTCTTTAATAGCACAACTAGTAACTACAAGTTGGTTTGACAGCGATTTTTATTTAGAAACTTGTCTATGAGCCATTTGGGAATTCCCATTATATATTAAATGTGTGCCATATTTCCATTGAATGAACGTCATTTAGTTTCAAGTAAGTTTGCTTTTTAAGTATTTCAAGTTATATAATTATACAGGATATATATTTGATGTTCAGTTAATCATGTTACGCAGTTCTATTTATCACTAATATTGTAATTCTAGCATAATGGAGTAAATGTGCTCTTCAAGGTCAGGCCAATAATGTCCGCAAAAAACAAACCTGCTAAGTTGATATGTTTACAGCCATCACCAATATCTAGGTTGTCTGATTCAGAGTTCATTTTAGAACAACCCCAGGCTTATACACTATGGTTTACTGCAATAGACAATTCCATAAAATAGGGGATATATTCATTCTATACAGTAATTTTTTCAAGCTTGTTCAAAGCTTAATAGTCCCTAGGAAAAATCACATTAAAATGGTTTAGGATGCTATATAGAACAATATGTCAGGCCTTGCCCATAAAACTAGCCAACTGTACGTGTATGTATGTGCTATGGTACATTTCTAGCTAGGTAGTGCAATTATATAAGCACAATTTATTTTGCTAGAAAAAAATTTTGAATTATTCATTATTTCAATGTATGCTTCTCCTTTAATTGTGGGATAAAATCATGCACTAAATCTTGATGGTTACAGAAAAGCATCGGAAAACGTGAAAATTCAACCTATCTAGGATAGCAACAGTTACACCATCATTCCTACCAATCAATATTTGAATCAATTAGGTAGGAAATTGATCCAAAACTCAGAACACCTATAGCAATCACTAGTAAGCTTGAGCCACACTATCAAGGGACAAATTAGTGTGAATTACCCATATATGGGCATGAAAGTCATATCACACCCATATTTGGGCATAATGATATTACTCTGTTGCTAGCTAGGCCAATAAGTACTGTACACTGTGACCGATACCAAGTTTCATCCAAATATAATGATTCTCAATCAACAGTACAAGTACTGTAATCAAAAAAATTCAATAAAAATTAAAATGAAATGGATGTTGCATTATAAATATTAAGCAGTGGCTGACTGTCAATGCAAACAAGGTATAAAGTGCATAACCTGGCTATAAAACAAAACATTGGAATACTTTGGTAACTAGGATAAGTCACAGTTGGTCCGATCGCATCGTACTCTCAGCTGCTTAGAATTCAATCATGTATTCAGTGAGTCAATGGGTGTCAGAGCATACCCTACAACGCTTAATTTGCTATTGCGGCAACCAACGTGTGGTGGCGTCGGAATAGCCAATTTAACACTAGAATTTCGAAGCGGTGCTTCCAAGAGTATGTGTGCATGCTCTTTTTCCCACAAATAGAGACCTATTATTTGAATTGAAATTTTTAAAAATACAGGAATAGGAATTCTTTTTAAGAGAGATATTATAACCATGCCGGTATTTAAAGTAACATACGTATTTTGACCATAGAAAGCAATCTGATTCTGTATAGTATTAGGCTTACAAAATTTTCCTACTAGCAGCCCCTTGCATGTGTGGCATAGGGGTCTTGAATGGAAGGGAGCTGATGGGGGTGGGAACGTGTTGGATCAGTGATTAGGGGCTAACTCGCAAAATAAGGTGATTTTAGGTGATTTTTAACTACTTGAGCATTTGTGGGCGGGGGCATGAATTAAGAATGGGCAAGTATTTTTTTTTCAGCGGGAGGGGGGGGCATGCCCACCCCTTGCAAATCCTAGAGATGCCAATATCTAGCATACCCTGCAATTTACCCTACAGTCTGCCACTGAAATTAAGCAAGATTGAAGTCTATGGCTATGGTCAAACCAGCTCATCAACCTGTCAACACCTTGGATTGCGTAAAATCCTTGGAACAGTATACACAACAAAGTAAAAATTTCAGAAAATTGTAATATTGTATTTTGGATTAATTTAGTCATTCTAACACCTAGGACTCAAAATTTGACTAAATAGTAAATGTCTATTAATCATCACATTAAAATTAATTCATAAGAAGGCTCCTGAATATGAGGTGACCACCAGGGAAAGCTAGAAGGGGCACCTCCTATAAATATGTTTTTTTTTTTAAAAACATTAAAAATATATATAAAGCAATTTGAATTCAGAAAATATTCAAGCACATATTATTTATTTACAAAAAAATTCCAATATACCATGGTATCTATATTGCCTTTACAGATGTCTGTATCCAAAGCATTGCAGTTTATGGATAAAAAAGATCTTGAGTGTGCCATCTGTCTCAACAGGTTTCACCAACCAAAGACACTGAAATGCACGCACACCTATTGTCTACAGTGTATCCAGAAATGGGTGGAAACTCATGAGGAGATGAAATGCCCAACATGTAAGCAAGAACATGATCTAACGAAAGAAGACCTAAATAAGCTGGCTTCCAATACAAAGATAAGTCAACTACTAGAGTATGTCACGAAAACAGAGGATCAAAAACCAACTAAATGCTCTTGCTGTGACAACCAACCAGCATACCACTGCTCAACATGTCAACTGTTTCTATGTGGAAGTCAATGTGTCAAACAACACAAGATGATACCTTCAACTAAGGATCATCCACTTTACACACTAGACATAAAGGAACCAGATGGCCAACCAACCAATTGCCAAGTTCACTGCAACACCCCACTGGAATTTTACTGCTCCAATTGCAACAAATCAGCATGCAAGCGATGTGAACACATCCTTCGCTGTTATCAAAAACAACATGAAGTGATTCTAATGTCAACTGCCATAGAAGAATTTAACAAAAATGCCACTGAACTTGTCAAATTAGCACAGGAAATTGAAAATAAATTAACAGAAAAACTAGAATTCATTGATAAAAATAAGTCATTATGTAAATTACAACTAAAGTTAAGTAGAACAGCCATAGAAATTCAAGAAAATAAACTTATTAAGAAAGTTAAAGAAAAAAGCAAGGAATTAACTTTGAAATTGGAAAAAATACACAAAGAAGAAGAAGATGCTATTGATAGTAAATTTAAAGATATTGATTCAAAGAGAACTCAAGTGAATAATCTAATGGCCACAGTCAATAAAATAATGAACAAACCAGAAGAAAGAGAAACACTTGGATCCCGTACGACAACTATCAACACAGTCAGAGACAAGGTCCTAGCAACTGACTTTGATAAATCATTTGATAAAATAAATATGACACCAAAATTCATTCCATGTACCCACTTGGATGAGTTGATGAATACAGAGGGCATCGGTAAAATAATTACTGCTGATATGACATATGAGGTTGCTGATGATGATAAAGAAATTACCGTTTCAAAAGAACAACCAATTGTAGTGAAAGTATCAAGTCTATCAGAGAGTGGTGCATGCCAATTAGCTGCAACATTGATAAACTCATTACGTGAAGAATCACAAACTGTGGTAGAATATGATGGAAATGAACAGTACACAATAACAGGTGGATGCAATGCGGAAGGTGATTGGCAAATGAAGATAACTGCTAGAGCTGAGCACATCAAAGGATCTCCAGTGAATATCAAGGTGGAAAAACTGGGACTTGCTCATACCATTGATAACATATCTGATTATAAAGAACATAACAAGGAATATAAAGTGAGAGATGTAGTGTTAAATAGAGATGGATGCATATTAGTATCAAGCCATAGCAAAGATATATTGAAGTTCAACCAATCAGGTTCATTTGTTGCTAGGATACAGGTGCCACAAAATGTGAATGTCAATAGAATGCATCTAATGAGTGATGGTCACATGATATATAGTGATGCCATAGCAGAATGTATAGTATTGTGTGATGAAAAATTCCAAGAAGTCCGTTCATTTGGTAAAGGCGTGTTGAAATCACCATTTGGCTTGACATTAAACATGGAAACTAGAGCTTTGTATGTAGCAGACATTAGAGCCCACTGTGTGTATAAATTCAATGTTGATTATGGCAGGCTACTGGGTGAGATAGGTTCAGCAGGTAGTGGAGTAGGTCAAATGAAGCAACCAAGAGATGTCACTTTAACTAAGGAAGGTCAAGTGGTTGTTGCTGACTCTGGAAATCACGGAATACAAATGTTTGGTGGAAATGGTAAGTTTATGAGAACACTTGTAGGCTGTGGTAAGGAAGATGGCAAAGTTTGGTGTCCATGGGGTGTAACCATGGATATGGATGAAAATATAATAGTATCAAGTTATCATAAACTACAATTATTTGATAAAAATGGTGTCTTCATAAAACGAATAGATCATAAAGATGATGGATTAAATATTCCAGTAGGAATCACTGTAATCTCCAACAGACCAAGAAGAGTAGCAGTAGCCAACTTCATACCGAACAATGTAAAAATATTCAAGTATTAAAATGACACATTGAAAAGCTCATCAACAGCCTCTATTATTAGATAATGTAAAATAATACATGTCATATCTACAATTTTTTTAATACATTAATAAATATTTTTGACAAATATATTCAATCAGATTCAAAGCAAAAGAATGAGAATAACTATCACATTATTAATGTTTATACATCACTCAATTAATTATTATATTCCATCAGATGGTAATTTTATTGTCATGTACAAAAAAAAATAATTGAAACTCTACAATATATTTTATTTCTGTATTTATATGGCTGTAATAAATATTATTGAATAAATAAATGAAAATAATGAATGAATGAGCGAGTGAATGAATAAAAATTTGCATGTGAGTTGACATGTCTCTGAATGAGCATAATCTAGATAGTTTTAATAGGAGCAAACATAAAATTAGAAATTATTATGAACCTTTGTATTGAATTTGCATTTTAAGTAATGTTGTTGAGCACTGATACTCACTGAGAACTGTTCGTATATGGAGTCAAATTGAGTTGTGATGTATTAACTTTATTTGGTAATTAATTCCCCATCAATTATAAAAATTCTTATGTTATATTGTATTGTGTTGTGTTTTATATGTTGTAAGCTATACTCTTTAGTAAAATTGAAAAAATGTATTTTACTAAGTTTATTATCCTATTTACTTATTTTAATGTCATGGGTAAAAAAAAACAAAACAACAAAACAAATTGCTATGTAATTTTATAATTTCAACTACAGTATTCAACACATTTTGCACCAGCAAAAACACAGTAGGCATAATTATACTAAGTATGTTTGAGACTTTTAGAAATAGAATAGAATTTAAAAAAAACAGAAGTTAATACATGAATGAGTAAACAGACCTATTTTGTATTTGATTTTAGTAACTGGGTTGTTACAAGGCCTATGTCAACTAGATAAATCTTGAATCCAATATTTTTTTAACCACACAGAAACAATTTTATCAATGATAATTTTACCATAATACACAGATGACAAATTTTAATTTTTAGCCCACTCTCTGAGAGAGAGGGCTTATATGATGATTCTGAGCGAATTTTGATGTCATTTGTTTTTCTATCTCCTCCTCCGTTTGTGACGCGATTAGGCCGATCTTGCAATAACATGGAAGATAACGCGTGGGGAATTTAAAGTATGAAGAGTTTTTGCGAAAATATTGTCGGGAAATATGTGAAAAGTATGTTTTTTTAATCATATTTCTTAACACTACGGTGGGTTTCCTATGAAAGCGTGTTCGTCATTGATCAGATTACAAATCGCCTGATTCCACATTGTGTTTATCAACCAATCACGGCCTGGAATTGTAAGCTTTGCGGCTAATAAATGCGTCTGCACGAGTCTCGTTGGCAGCCGTTTTGTGGTGCTTGCAGGGTGGGTGGTCTCTCCCCTGAGAGATAAACAATGTACACTACTGTAATGCAGGCTGGCCTAGAGCTAGAGGAAGACGAACTAGGCCTATAGGTTGGCTGGGTAGTACGTGTGTGTAATAGATCAGATAACAGGAAATGTAGGCTAGTTGCTTTTATGTGTATTAAACCACATAATATTCAAATTAGTAGCGATAAGTGCAGCACATTTCGTGTCAATGTACTGTAATGCAGGCTGGCCTGACGAAGACGGGAAGCACGAAGACGAATAGGCTGGCTGGGTACGTACGTGTGTGTAGGCATAGGCCCTAGTCTAGATCAGATACTACAGGAAATAAATGTAGGCTACAAGTTGCTTTTATGTGTATTAAACCACACATTCAAATCAGTCAGTAGCGATGAGTGTATGTAAAGCACATTTCGTGTTGCCGCACTGTGCTGTGGTTGATGACGAGGACGTTGCCGTTAGATACATGATAGTCGGGATAGATACAGATAGATATAGATACATGTGTATATATGTATATGTATGTATATATATGTGTATATGTATATATATGTGTATATATATATATGTATATATATATGTGTGTATGTGTATATATATATGTATATGTATATATATATATATATAAATCATCAAAGAAAGGTAAATACAGTGTGTACTGTCTCTTATACACATCTAGATGTGTATAAGAGACAGCTCATATGCTGTCTTTACATGTTTTTTTTTTCTCTACAGATTGGAAAATATAAATTGAATGAATCTGTAAGGGAAAAGGCTATTATCTTGTTCAAAAAACTTCAGTCCATTCTTCTATGTAAAGATTCTTTGAATATTGAAGGTATGTGACTAATAGGAAATATGTTTCTCTGTTGAGATAAAAATTTAACAGTTTCAGATATCATTTTTTTCGATGTGAATGAATCTACTAAACTTATACTCCGTTCCTGAGAGTTATTTTCTGAGCTTGTACTGGTAATTTACCCTTAAAAACTAAATTCTGTTTATTGCGTGAAAGGGATGCCTAAGGAGCTTGCATGATAAGCCTCCCCATGGAACCTGTCTCTTATACACATCTAGAAAGAACAGTGACTTTATGAGGACAATTGGTAACGACTACAGTACCGACACAAAATACTGCATTTTTACCTGCGCGCAGGCTTCGTAGATACATCGTAGCCTGATGATATAAACAATCTAAGCAAGGCCGGCTACGCGAAGCGAACCTACGAAGCAAAAGCATGTTGTTTATTTGTATGTGCAGACAGACTGCTGTAGCTTACTGGAATAAATAATGTATTGCTTGATAATTTGTTAATGACAAGCACAAGTTTAGACCGTTAATTTAAAGTATAGAGTTGTTTTTCAATAAGAAAAACGTACAATTGACTTCTGTATTGTTTTTTTTTTTTTTTTTAATTAATTAGCCTGGCCTAGGCTAGCCTATTTTTTTTTATTTACAATTACTTTACCTCTTTAACTGTTAAAAAAGATGCCCTCAATGACAATACACACACGTGAAAAAATTGTTCCTCAAATAATACTTTGTAACCTTGATTTAGTACGATAAATAACAAATATAGAGAGAGTTAACGT